CTCGATTCCTGGCTCGACTTGGCGCGCGCAGCCGATCGCATTCGTCGATTAACCATGATTATACGGTTCGCGGAGAGGAATAAATTCTTATTGCGGCGGATACGTCGGAAGCATCCTTACACGGTGCAAGCCTTGTAATTAAAGTAATTACCAGCGGGTCAAATGTTTATATTACTACCGTTATTAGTATTTCGATCGGCGAGGCTCGCCGAGTTCGCACCTGCCACGGGAACTCGATCTCTCGATCCCTGCGCATCCTCCTCTCGATCCGACGTTCCCCACCCTCTTTCGTTCGCCGAATCGTTCGCGATCGACGATGTTACTCGGTATCCGTGGAAAAGGAATTTTGTTACCCTCTATGCCTCTCCGTGGGACTCTCGGATCCTCGTCGAGCGATCGCTATCGCGATCCCAGATACGGAATCTCGCTGCTTTAAATCGCTTAATGATTTTAATAATCTCCCGCTGCTCTTCGCGTTTCCAAATAGGAATTTCCGACAGCTTTTGCCCTCGTTGGAAAAACGGTATCGTCGATTAATATTTGCGGTCGCGGCACATAAAATTGTCGCGGAGTGTGGTAATTGTAACGTAACGGAGGGTAGGCAACGCGTCGCTCGCTGGCAAAACGCGCGACGGTTTAAGCGGAAACGCAAACGTAAACGCGTGCTGTAGCGTAGCGGGTAACGCGTTGTAACGCGATATTGGCCGAGTCGGAGAGATCCTCTTTAGCGGACTAAAGCCACGAACGCTCGCCGAGGACGTCGCGTCGCGCCTCGCGCGCGGATCTGGATCGGGCCAGGGATCGGGATCGGGATCGGGAAACGCGAAATCGCGGTGGCACGAACCAACGTAACTCAATAGCGAGCGCGTGCGTGCCGATGCCGCTCGAATTAACCGCTTTTAGATCGGTTTACGGTAAACATCACGCCCGAGTAATCGGCTCGTTCCGTAGCTACACCGAGAATACACCGAGCGAGTCCATACCGCGACTACACCGAGATATCCGACGAAAAGAAACAGCCACGAGTTCGCTTCGGTAACGGAGCAATTAATTGAAAATCGAGATACAGGCGACGCTCGAACGGGAACATGGTTAGAAATCGCATCCGTTCGAAAATAACATGGTATTTTGGAGGAAATTTTGGACTATGGATCTTCGCGCAAATATCGAACAACGCGAATTCTCTCTAAAAAAAAAAAGGAAGCGTTCCTGCTCCTCGGCAGAATGAATCATCCTCCTCTCGGTAAAGGAGATTTCGTCGACGAAAAACGAAAGCCAACGTAGCTGAAAATACCTAGCGATAGCTCCGTACCCGGAGGTAGCAAACACGAGCCGCGGCAGCAGATCGAAAATAAAAGGTAGCAGAGTGGTGTCGGAAGGCGAGGAAAGCTGGAAACGCGAGCCCTTGGAGCTTTTAGCGCTCGGAATCGCAGGTGCGCGTTGCATCGGAGGCAGAGGCGGAGAGGAAAGAAGAGCATTCTCGTTACTAACTTAATCAACGCGTCCCTCGATGTAATCGGAGCAACGAGCGCCGGAGAGGACAAGAGACAGGACGGGACAGGATAGGATAGGACAGACACAGAGCTACACGGACGCGACACGATGAATACCGAGCGAGATAGACGCGGGGAAAGAGATGGATAGAGATGGAGATAGAGATAGCGATAGAGATAGAGACGCGGCGATGGCGATAGAGGGAGAGCGAGGGTCTGGTTGGCGCGGCGATGATGTCGTGGCGAAGAGAGCACCGTTGGTGCGGGGGAGGGTCGGCGAGGATGACGAGGCAACGATAATTGCGATCGGAGCCGATCGGTGAAATCCTAATATAACGCCGCGGAAATGCATCGAATATAAGCGCTCGCGCTTGGCTAGGTAAGCCGTAAGCCACTGGTCCTGACGGAGAACGACGGCGGAAGGGAGAGGAGGCAGATCGAGAGCGGTTCGGGGGTACGCTCGGTTAGAGAGAGAGCGAGGGAGAGAGAGAGAGAGAGAGAGAGAGAGAGAAAAGGAAAGAGAGACGCGGAGAGTGAAAGGGAGAGGGAGAGGGAGAGGGAGACGGAGATGGAGAGGGAGAGGGAGAGGGAGACGGCCGAGCAGGTATAACCTATTGTAATCAATATTAATTACTCGAGACAATGGAATCTCATTGGACTCGATCGTTCGAGCGGGCTCTCGCAACGAGATGGCTGCGGGGAAGCGGCGAGATATAGGCAAGTGGCGGGAGGGGGCTCGCATCGAGGGGGGGGGGAGGTTGGAGGATGGTCGTCCTGGTTATGTTTGGCTCTACACGGAGGGCGGTAATGTAACGCGCGCTTACCGCGAGTGTGAGCGGCGCAATACGTACGTGATTCTCGAGAGCGGGCCCGCTCTATGTTGCAGCATAATCTATTGTTGTTGACGTTATGCGTTGTGCACGCGCAACCCGCATAGGCTCCCTCCCTCTCGCTCCCGCTCGCTCCCTTTCTCTCTCCCTCTCTCACCCTTCGGCTCTCTTCCCTCTGTTACCGCTCTGCCTCGATGGCTTCACCCGTTCACCGGGCATCCAACGGCTACCATCGCCGCCAACAACCCCGTCACCCTCTTCTCCTAGCCTAGGGGACACCACCCCCGCCTCCTCGGCCACCCCGTGTCTAGTTCTCCTCCTCATCCTCCCACCCTTGCTTTCTACCACCGTCCCTCTCCAGTCCTCTCTCTCTCTCTCTCTCTCTCTCTCTCTCTCTCTCTCTCTCTCNGAGCGCGTGCGTGCCGATGCCGCTCGAATTAACCGCTTTTAGATCGGTTTACGGTAAACATCACGCCCGAGTAATCGGCTCGTTCCGTAGCTACACCGAGAATACACCGAGCGAGTCCATACCGCGACTACACCGAGATATCCGACGAAAAGAAACAGCCACGAGTTCGCTTCGGTAACGGAGCAATTAATTGAAAATCGAGATACAGGCGACGCTCGAACGGGAACATGGTTAGAAATCGCATCCGTTCGAAAATAACATGGTATTTTGGAGGAAATTTTGGACTATGGATCTTCGCGCAAATATCGAACAACGCGAATTCTCTCTAAAAAAAAAAAGGAAGCGTTCCTGCTCCTCGGCAGAATGAATCATCCTCCTCTCGGTAAAGGAGATTTCGTCGACGAAAAACGAAAGCCAACGTAGCTGAAAATACCTAGCGATAGCTCCGTACCCGGAGGTAGCAAACACGAGCCGCGGCAGCAGATCGAAAATAAAAGGTAGCAGAGTGGTGTCGGAAGGCGAGGAAAGCTGGAAACGCGAGCCCTTGGAGCTTTTAGCGCTCGGAATCGCAGGTGCGCGTTGCATCGGAGGCAGAGGCGGAGAGGAAAGAAGAGCATTCTCGTTACTAACTTAATCAACGCGTCCCTCGATGTAATCGGAGCAACGAGCGCCGGAGAGGACAAGAGACAGGACGGGACAGGATAGGATAGGACAGACACAGAGCTACACGGACGCGACACGATGAATACCGAGCGAGATAGACGCGGGGAAAGAGATGGATAGAGATGGAGATAGAGATAGCGATAGAGATAGAGACGCGGCGATGGCGATAGAGGGAGAGCGAGGGTCTGGTTGGCGCGGCGATGATGTCGTGGCGAAGAGAGCACCGTTGGTGCGGGGGAGGGTCGGCGAGGATGACGAGGCAACGATAATTGCGATCGGAGCCGATCGGTGAAATCCTAATATAACGCCGCGGAAATGCATCGAATATAAGCGCTCGCGCTTGGCTAGGTAAGCCGTAAGCCACTGGTCCTGACGGAGAACGACGGCGGAAGGGAGAGGAGGCAGATCGAGAGCGGTTCGGGGGTACGCTCGGTTAGAGAGAGAGCGAGGGAGAGAGAGAGAGAGAGAGAGAGAGAGAGAAAAGGAAAGAGAGACGCGGAGAGTGAAAGGGAGAGGGAGAGGGAGAGGGAGACGGAGATGGAGAGGGAGAGGGAGAGGGAGACGGCCGAGCAGGTATAACCTATTGTAATCAATATTAATTACTCGAGACAATGGAATCTCATTGGACTCGATCGTTCGAGCGGGCTCTCGCAACGAGATGGCTGCGGGGAAGCGGCGAGATATAGGCAAGTGGCGGGAGGGGGCTCGCATCGAGGGGGGGGGGAGGTTGGAGGATGGTCGTCCTGGTTATGTTTGGCTCTACACGGAGGGCGGTAATGTAACGCGCGCTTACCGCGAGTGTGAGCGGCGCAATACGTACGTGATTCTCGAGAGCGGGCCCGCTCTATGTTGCAGCATAATCTATTGTTGTTGACGTTATGCGTTGTGCACGCGCAACCCGCATAGGCTCCCTCCCTCTCGCTCCCGCTCGCTCCCTTTCTCTCTCCCTCTCTCACCCTTCGGCTCTCTTCCCTCTGTTACCGCTCTGCCTCGATGGCTTCACCCGTTCACCGGGCATCCAACGGCTACCATCGCCGCCAACAACCCCGTCACCCTCTTCTCCTAGCCTAGGGGACACCACCCCCGCCTCCTCGGCCACCCCGTGTCTAGTTCTCCTCCTCATCCTCCCACCCTTGCTTTCTACCACCGTCCCTCTCCAGTCCTCTCTCTCTCTCTCTCTCTCTCTCTCTCTCTCTCTCTCTCTCTCTCTCTCTGGTTCACCATCGGCATTGGACGGCCGAGAAACGACAACAACGAGCACGCTGACAACAACGACGACGACAATGCCATCCGATGCGAGCCCTGCTCTCCTATCCGAGCGGCTGCTGCTCGGAGCCGAGAGAGCCGGGAGAGCCGAGAGAGCCGAGAGAGCCGATCGAAACTCGACGCACATCAACACTCGCTTTACCGTTACGCGGGCGGCCACCTTCCGACTACATCCTCGTCATTACCGCGATACGTTGTCCCTGGAAATTAGATATTATATTATAGGCGACCGCGTATCGGTTTCCTCCCACCCTCTCCCTCCTGCTCCATCTCGTCATCCTCGCTCCGCCGCCACAGAGACCTGCCCAGCCGCGCCGGGTCAGCCTCCGACGTCTTTTCTATCGAAGAACGCGAGAAACTTGTCCCTTGTCCCCCCATGTTGCCCGACGATCCGACGATCCGATGACCGGATTACCGGCTTCTACGCGTGTGGCCGAACGAACGCGTGTTGCACCGAAAACACTTTGTCGCAATGTCCGCGGCGAAGAATAACCGTAGATTCGGATACGTTCGGTAGATTCCGAAATCCTAAATTTCCAATCGATAACGAGAACGAATAGCCGAAACGGGGATTTCTAGATCCAGTTTCCGGATCTCCCGAAGATCCGCATCGTCACGGATCGGCGAGGGAGGCGTTCTTCGGGACCCCGTGGTGTCGCGAGGATGAATCTATCGAGTTCACGCGGTTACCGTCGACAGGAATGTGATTAGCCGGCGAGGGAGAATCGAGGAAAGTCACGATAACCGGTAACGAACCAGCATCGCGAGGAACGGGGGACGATCGGTGATTATCGGGCATTAATTAATTAACGGTAAGCGCGCGCGTTCGCCGTGGAAGGTTTCTTGCGGGTCGTCGGGGCGTACGAAAGCGACAGGACAACGACAAAAGTCGTTTTTGCGTAGGACGGTTTGCCGGCGACGACGGCTGTGGGTGGAAATTAGTTCCCAGAAGGGATCGGTTTCGCGTGACCGCCGCTCGTCAGATACGCGGTGCGTGTCACGACGTTGTTTCTACCCTGTGCTGCACCGCCGGTAGGGACCTCGAGGGTTTCCGGTGCTCGAGGGTCGCGCTTTCCGCTCGGAGATCCTCGGATCCTCGGTGGATCGACGATCCAACGATTTAACCCGTGGAAGAAACGAGACCCGAAATATAACTCTAAATTCTCGACTCACTGAAAATTCTGGAGCTTCGGGATGTCTATAATCTTCGGGACGACCAAGAATCGCGGGTCGATTCGAAGGATTTAGTAGTCCTGGGAGTTCGGGATAGGAATTGGGTTTCTGCCGGAACGAACGACGACGAACCGCGAGGGGAGCCCAAGAAAAATACCCTGAAACAGATAAATGGATTAGAACGAATGCAAGGTATAAACTACGACGATGGAACAAAAAGACGGCAAAACATGCAACGGCAGCTACACGGTTTGAAACGTGCATAAATATTCGCGAGTGCGAGCAATATTTCCGAGGCTATCCTTCGTGGTCTAAGAAAATGAATTCCCGGACGGGGGGTTACCGACGCCGGGTATCGACCGGACCGCGGCGGAATCGATTAATCGCCGTTTCCGAAACGCGGAAAAACGAAGGGAACAGGGCGTCGTTCTCCAGGTTGGTCACGTAACGTTCGGCCCTGGTCATTTTCTACTGGCTAGGTGTTTGCAAAGTGTAGTCGAACGCCGGCCTTCCACCCCCGCCCTTAAGATTGTCCGTCGGCATAACACACACACACACACACACACACACACACTCTCTCTCTCTCGCGCGCGCGCGCTTCCGCACCCCCACATAGCCTTCTCGGCCGCTTGAACTCGCCGAACCCCCTCGGCTTTGCGAGCCAACGAAGGAAAGGCTTTCCTTGTAGCCGGACACCTTCCGGCGCGGTATCGTTTCCGTTTTGGAAGCGAGGTTTCAGCACGTATTACACCGCGTCATATACCGCAGACACGTGGCAATTACCGCGTGGCGATAATCACGAGGAGGTCGTTGAAAAACCGGTAACCGAGGCGGTATCGTCGATGCGGCTCATTAGGCCTCGGCGTGCCCAAGGGAGAAAGAGAGAGAGGGAGGGAGAGAGAGAAATAGAGAGAGAGAAAGAGAGAGAGAGAGAGAGAAAAGCGGAGCAAAAGGAATCGTCGCTCTTAATTTTTACTTAACCTCTCGGAATCACGAATCCGTTCACGATGGGGAGTGCGAGTGTAATTGCTAGCGATCGAACCATAAATCCGGACCCACTTTTCGGAAAATAACGATCATTTCGTAATTTAATGGAGATACTTTTTCACGCCCTGAACTTTACGCGAGAATAATTGTAATTTTCGAACGATCCAGGGCGACCAATAGAGAGAGAGAGAGAACTGTTCGGATCCCTGTGTCCGGGCAAAGTGGCAGGTGCCAAAGGCTTTCGATTATTCCGGCTTTGATCGGAGGAGCAGGATGGAGACGACAGGAGAGAGAAAGGCCGAAGAAAGAGAGGAAGGAAGAGAGAGACAGAGAGAGAGAGAGAAGGGCCACGTGTAATGGGGTTTCGCTACCTCCACGGTTGCCATATGCCCTCCGCCTAATTTTTACGGTGTCGATCCGCTCCGGACGCGGACGCGGACGCGGGCGGTGGTCGGTGGACGGCGGGTACACGCGTATACACCTCGGGCGACTTCGTCCGAATTTATAGGTTTTCAGCGCTATTCGCCCTTCTCCGCTCCTCTCCGGTCCTCTCCCTCTCTCGTCAGGAAATTTCAAGAGCCGAGCAAATTTGCGTTGAAATCCATACCCTCGGATAGTTTATTATCGCTTGGCAACGATCGTCGGCGAAACGACTGCCTTAACTCGGCCGTCTGCGGCCGTAGACGGCCGAAGACGGCCGCCCGGCACAAAGAGGGAGAAAAGAAAAGAGAGGAGAGGAGAACGCAGAGTTTATCGGCCACTCGGGGTTTTCTGTGGCCGGCCATGACCGACCCGCGATCCCCGAAATCCCGAAATCCTGGCCTGGACTATTGAGGCTGAAAAACAATATTTCCAAAACGATTTCGCCATAGTCCTACGTTATAGCAATTTGCTGATGCTCTCGCGCGAGTACAATTTTTCACCACGGTCCTGGTTCGTGTCGTCCCGCGAACAACTTCGGACAGGTTCGCCGGAACACGGAAACGACACGCATCGACGCCACGCGCTTCTTTCCTAATTGGCTAACTACAGGATCTGATTTCGGTGGTAATCGCATTAGCCCCTGACATGCCATCGGATCGTTTCGCCGCAACAGTTCTCGCACTTAATTTCCCAGCCAATTTTTCGCACCTCTCTCTCTCTCTCTCTCTCTCTCTCTCTCACCTCTCCTCTCCCTCTTTGGACGATGTACCCGTATTTTCGTAGATTCCGATCTTTACGAAGTTGAAAACGCGTCGCGCTACACACGCTTAATTAAAAGAAATTGTCGCCGGCTGCTACCTACCGTTGGATACCGGCTCTCGGAAATCCTTGCATCCTGATCGTGTCATCGATCGCTGGTTGCGATCTTCACGCTGCAATTCGCACTGGTGGATTCGCGACGAAAAGCTGCCTTACCGTCTTGCAATTAGTGGACGAACTGAAATTCGACCGTCCACAGTCGTAAAAATGCAACTGCTTTTGGACAGTGTTGTAAGCACTAATAAAAAAAATAAAACGCAGAGGGGAAAAGAAAAAGAGAGAGAAAGTGGTAACGACAACGAAGTTGTGTTGAACGAGGGATGCGTTCGCTTTGAGCACAGATTGCCGGACGAGACGCGAAGCGGGCCGCGCGAAACGGCGTATCATTGCGGCATTTCATAAAAACCGTCGGATATGCGGTTAATCGTTTTACGTATAACTAACACGTCCATAAACCGACGGATTAGCGCCTGCTCGTCGTCTGCGGCCGCTTATCCGGCCGCCTATCCGAACGCCTATCCGGACGCCTATCCGGGCGCCCGCGTCCGCGCCCGCGCCCGCGCCCCGAGCACGGCCCCGTCGCGTCGCGTCGACAAGCTCGCCGCGTTATCTCGCCCCGCGATAAGTGCATTAACTACTCGTATCTTCTCTAATAGTTTTCAGACACGCCGGGAAAGTCTTGTCGCGGTCGAATCTCGCCGCGCGCACGAGCAACGATGCCCGATGCTATCGGGAAACACTGTACTCCGTACTCTGTACTCTATGTACTTCGGCCCCGCGATCCACCCTGTCCGTTGTCTTTTGCACTATCCAATCCGAATTTACCATTATTAACGCGTTCTCGTTCCTGCCAGACCTCCGCACACGTTCCCACCAATTAATTCGTTCGAGCTGGAATCGCGACGCGTTAACACGTTCGCTACCATCGCTAACACCTTTCGCAGTTTTATTTTTATTCGATTCGTTCCATCGGATGCAACACATGCTGTAAAGTTCGCCGAATGTTGTACTATCTGCTACTATTTCGAACAACGACTCGCGCGTTGCTTCGATCATGAGAAGCGCCGTATGCGCGAAGCTGCCAGAGAACACGGAGAACGTAGATTACGTGGCTAATTAAGAGATAAAAGTCTTATTGAAATTCTTTGAAATGCTCGGACCGAAAAGTTTAATGAGAACAATTACCGTGGTCTTAATTGCACCTACTTTGTTACGATACGTATATTACATCGTAGATCAGATTCTATGGGGTGGGATGGAAGAAGACGGATGGATCGCTTCTTTCAGATAGATTCCATCGATTTATTCCTTTGTTCCCGGTAATAATCCTCGGTCGATGCAACGAGCAACGCGTTCGTGGTAAACGCGATAGATGGTCTTCGCCGTACAACGAGTTAATAGTTACAACGGCGAAGATATTTTTCTAAATAATTTACACATTCTGCTAACCCTTTCCTGGGAGTATATCTCCACCATTTAATCTTCTCATTAACCAACTAACAAGAACATTTTTTACCCTCCGTTTCAACCCCTTGTGTTTTACAAAGTATTTACTTAGATTATCTCAGACGGTCAATCATCCCCTTCGCGATCATGCGCATTCACCCCGACGCGACGCGACGCGACAACGGCGATTAAAAATCATCGTTCACAGAGGTTTCGGTGTATCCGCTCGGACGGTAGTAATTAAAACTCGTCGTTAGGGCTAAGATCCGTTCGATTCAGCGATTCGAATAATCTTTCGAAAAAGTTCCACCGCGTTCGCTGCAATAGTTAGAAATGACCGAGTAAACAAAGAAACAACCAAAGCGCATTCGATCCAACATCGGAGAAGTTCGCTCGCATTCGCTGCAGCAATGAAAACGTTTAATTGCCACAGTTTCGCACCATCCTCGCGGATTAGGACCCGCGAAAATATGGTGTTTGCGGGCGCGGGTGAAAGCGCGGTTCTACAAGGGACAGGGTCCGGTTATTCCGTGGCGAGCTGCGAGCAGCGAGCGGCGAGTGGCGAGTAGCTAGTGGCTGGTATGTAGATAGTAGCGGGACGATTTTCTAATTATTGCCCCGTCGGCCGTGCTCCGAGTCCCGGTCCCGTGCTTCGAATCCCGAGTCCCGAGGGCTTGTTGCCGCAGACCGGTGCCACCTCTCTGTGCACACGGTGCATACCGCGCACAGGAAATCCGTGATCCGTGGCTAGCATCCGATCCGATCCGATCCGATCCGATCCGATACGGTCGCTCGATCGCCATGGATCACCGTCCACCCCCGCAGCCCGCCTATTGCTCATCCGCGCCACAAAGATGGACGCCGCACCGCCCGGTTCAATCGCGAACGAGGGGCTGCGGAAACCCGAAAGGTGTTTCTACCGGAAATTTCGGAGCCCGTTGCATCCCCGCTGCGTTCCGCGGCCGGAATATATTCTGCGCTTCGATCGTGTAATAGCAAATTGCTTTTAACCCTCGTCCTTGCAATCTGGGGACATTTTTTCGAAGCTGCGGTTTACAGGATCCTTTGATTACGATAGTTGCAGTCGCTCCAATGTAATCAACAGATTTTCGATAGAAGGATCTTGGACAAATATTTATTCTTTGCTTTTGTCGCGTCGCTGCTTCGTCGATTGCGAATTATTATTTCTTCCGCGCTCCTGTTTGCCCGAAACGCGTACGATCCTCGTTTTAATAACGATTTTGAAACAGCGTCGGATGTTCATAGCGAATCGCGCAATGACTCCTAGAAAAATATGTTTTCCCTGGTGCGTTTGATCGTCGTCGGATCGATCCGTCTCGAATACAGCGATTTCGAAGGGGCGGCGACAACGATCTTTTCCGCGGCAGAGCCAGAAACGGAGCGATCGAGAGCGAGGCAAGGGGACGAATCCCAGGGCTCGTTGATAATAAGGTTCGGTTTTGATTAGCACGGAGACTGTTTAACGGTTTGATACCTCGCCGGTAATCGAATCCGGACCTAATCTCTCAAGTTATAACCAGATTATTGCCTCCTCCATGCACTTGCTCTGCAACGTTCTCCACACCCCGTTCCGTCATGCCGCGCCGCGCCGCGTCGCGCCGGCTCTCGCTCGCACCAGCATCCACCAGCCAGAGCCACCCCCGACATCGACGCGACCGTCTTACGTACTACCCTCGCCCCCCTGACCGGTTAAATCGGACACGAGCATGTCGTTCGTGCTTCGGTCGTTGAAAAATGCTATCCGTGGATTCTACGATCAAAGTCGAGGAAGCGGACCCTGCTACTTTCTTCGTCTTTTGTAGGAATTATCGCGATTCTTCCGCGAGCGAGAAAGGATTCGAAAAGACGATAATTTACGGAATAGAGTGAATAAAGGACCGATCGCAGAGGGTGGTCCATCGATCGATGGATCGTCGCGGGGAAGATCGCGAGACGTTTGATCGCTGACGACGAAGAGGCCAAAGCAACGGGAGAAAGAAAGAGGTAGAGGGAGAGAGAAAGAGAGATAGAGAGAGAGACAGAGAGAGAGAGAGAGAGAGACCAGGCAAGGCAGGAATTCCCAGCCATCGTCGTCTGCCAATTTATATGGCTGCCATCTTGGATCGATAGTAGTCGTACAACGTTGCGCGCGTTATATACACGCGGCGATCGTTGCAGGTAGTCGTGTTAGGTTACAGTTTTAAACGCGGCCAAATTACACGTTGCGCGCGGCTTTGCTCGCTGGCTAGAGAGCGCGCGCGCGCGCGCGGGCGAGCGCAACAGGGCGCGTTTAAAATATTCCGGCGTCGGGTGGCGCGGGAAAGGGCAAAATAAATGTTACGGCATTACGATGGACAGCGTGCTCACCTATACCTCTCGGGCCCCCTTAAGATCACCACCACACTCCGACATCGTCGCCGACACCCTCCGCCCCTCTCTTTCTCGCTCATTCTCTCCGCGTCTCTCCTCTCTTCGAAACTCCGTCCCTTTTCCGCTTCCGAGCAGCTCTATCCTCTCGTTCGATTTTCTGCGCTCCGGTAGCAGCGCGTGTACCTGCCCCTTCGTCGTCGGTGCGTATACACCGTGTATACGGGGTGTCTGATCCAACTGCACACCCGATTATCACGGAGAAACAAGCTCCCAAACAAATCGGATCTTTGCCGGAGAAACAGCTTTTTAATGAGGAGGGGGGGCGGTGTTCGTTTCATAACTGCAGATTAATCGAATCGGCGGAATTAACAGCACCTGTAACCTTCGCCTATCGCGTATCAGCCAATTTTTGAAGTCGCTAACGTTCGGCCGAATAGAGCTAAGTGAAAACTGATACTTGTTCGAGATGATTTGATCGTGCAACTCAAGATTTTTTACGAACGATGCTTTTCTCGGCTAGAACGAAGACTAAAGAATTCGTTCCTAGAACACAATTTTTAAATATCGAGTTCAGCTACGTGTGCGATGTCAAGGGCAAAAGACTGGACAGCATCGTTGACACTGCCACAAAACACCCTGTACGCATGGTCCGTGCTGGAAACTGGGCATCGGTAATCGGAAATCGGTAATCGGTAAACGGTAATCAGTATCTACATTTATAGATACCGGCGCGGTGCAGCGACGTCGCTCGTCGCGAGAGAGAGAGAGAGAGAGAGAGAGAGAGAGAGAGAGAAACGCCGGAAAAAGGAGCAGAACCGGCGTAGAAAGACGAAGAAGACGAGCACGAAGAGCACCAAAAGCACCAAGAGCACCAAGAGCACCAAGAGCTCCAACAGCACCAAGAGCACGAAGGAACCGAGAGGCCGGGAGTAGGAGACGCGAAGAACGAGAGAAGGAGCCGGAGTAGGAGGATGAGGAGAGCGAGTCGAGCGAACAGAAGGAAAAAAATAAGCGGAAAAAGTAGCGGGCTTGATTGGTGGAAATGAATTCAAAATGGCCGACCCTCGGAGCCTGGTAAAATGGCGTCGCGAGCATTAACAGCCGGCCGATTGCTCGCGGATTTGACGTTTCTATTCGGGATCTCTTCCAGCCTCCTCGAAGCAGCGCATCCCCTTTAGAACCGCCATAAGCGAGTCCCCGATCGGTTCTGGATCATGGTAGCACGGATCCTGTAGATATAGATCCTCCCGAGAGGAGGAAACCCCGATCTACGAGCTGTCGCGCAATTAGCCGTTACTTCGTTTATTATGGAAGCGTTCGAAGGCTGAGCTTTTTCATTTTTCTGGGAATTCTTGAGGATTT